TCTACTCATATAAGGAATATAAATTTTCAGGAAGTCAAGAAAAGCAGAGTACAAGCTGAGATCATCCCCAGAAGTATAATGGGATAGATTCAGGGAATCCCCAGAAGCATACTTGGATAGGGAGCCACCCAGAAAATTTCAGTGTATTATGCTTAGCAGAGTAATGCTTATGTGGGCACACTATACAACCACTCATTTGGTGACCATACAATGGATGCCCCTGTTGGAAGAAACCTCCTTCTAGGTTCTGCTCCAAGTGGGGAAAAAGACACTGGAGACATGGAGACTGCTTGGAAAGATGGTTTAATGGTGGACAGGATCACATGGCTTGAGTTCCTGAACAGAAAAGGGGCAGATACAGTAAATCCTCGGGTTTTTATGCTCTCTCTGGCTCTGCATTTCTTGGGGCCCCGAAAGAGTATCCTGATTGGTTGTCAGACTCCCAGGGGGTGGGGGCCTTGCTGGCTGATGGTCACATGTGCTTCCCCGGTCACATGTGGTGAGTTTCTGCTGCTATTGTGTAGAGGGCTAATCCTATCTTTGTTGAATCTTTGGCAATTCCTACTATGGCTCTGCCTGAAGGAGGCAGATCTTTGTTATGTAGAATAGACTGGCCCAGGCCTTAATGACAAAGGGTGGGGGCAGGAAGATGGGAGCTGCTTCAAAACATGCTTATCCATTTCTCATCCAGGGAAATATAATATTCTGCCTTTTTCACATTTCCTAAAATATTTCACTCTTCCAGGAAAGGGGTGGGTGCTAACTTCCTACACCCCCAAGGTACTTATTACCTAGTTCCAATAGCCACCATTCCCCCAGTCACGGGACCACAGTTTGGGTGCTTGGCAACCAACCCACATTTATGGTTGTTGGCATGGTTCTGCCATGTATGACTGTGGCAGTCATTTTATAACTGGATTCACTTAATGACTGCTGTGTTCTTTTAATGACTACAGGATTTGCTTACAAACCGCCACGAAAAAGATAATAAAATTTGCTCAGTCATGTAGGTTATTTATTTTTATTTATTTATTTATTTTGTCACACTTCTATGCCGCCCAATTCCCAAGGGACTCTGGGCAGCTTACAACAGAGAATAAAACAATGCAACGATATCCCATACAAAAATTAAAAGAAAACAACATTAAAACATTAAAACACATACACTCCAATTTGTGGCCGGGTCTCGCAAGATCACTATAACGAGATCAACGGCCCCAGGCCTGCCAGAAGAGCCAGGTCTTCACTGCTTTCCGGAAGGCCAATAGAGTGGGGGCGGTCCGGACTTCAGGAGGTAATTGGTTCCAGAGAGCCGGGGCAGCCACAGAGAAGGCCCTCCCCCGCGGGCCCGCCAGCCGACATTATTTAGTTGACAGGACCCGGAGGAGACCGACTCTGTGGGATCTTACCGGTTGCTGGGAGTTATGTGGTAGAAGGCGGTCTCAAAGATAGCCTGGTCCTGAGCCATGTAGGGATTTAAAGGTAATAACCAACACCTTGAATTGCGCCCGGAGACTGATAGGGAGCCAGTGCAGCTCATGGAGACTTAACTTTATGAACTTCACCACTTACAACTATAAAAAGCAGGCTCTACCCCAGTCATAAATTGAGGACATAAATCAAGAAGGAAGACAGAAGGTGGCTTTTACCTCTGATTTGATTCTATGTAATCCTTGCTTTAAAAGATTTTAAATTGGTGGCAGTGATGGTGGGATTTCACATAATATTGATCAGACCACTAGGTGGCAGAAAGAAACAAACATTTAATAATGATATCAACCATCTGATACAGGATCTCTCTCTCCCTCTCCCAAAATATTGCCCACCAATGGCCCCCTCTTAGAAGATTTATTTGGGCCATTGGTAGGCAATATTTTGGATATCTAGTATTGCAGTGGGTGCAATAATGATGTAAGGTGAGTAGCCTCCGAGTTGTATGATTTCCCCCCTCCCCCATGAGATTGGAGTGTCTGTTTATTTTATTACACTATTCTAAGATGACTTTAGAGATTGTGTAACAGTTTTCCTTTCAAACACCCATTAATTCCTCTTAACTAGGACAGAGATAAGGACTACAGAAAATGAGCTTAGGGACCTGAAGTTGCTTTCTCTTTTTCCTTTGAGATTTTGGTAGGAGAAGCCAAGAGTGGTGTGTGTATGTGTGTGTAGCATTCTTCAATCTGACACTCTCCCAAATTTTACTCAATGTAGCCATTGGCTATGAAATACCAGAAGTTGGCATCTCAGCAAAATTTAAGGACACAGAAAGATAGGCCAGACTAGGGAACCAAGACAATCCAGGTAATAATACTTTTATTACAGAGCAATTTTACAGAATCTTGGAAGTCAGAATGGGCTTCTCTTTACTTTTATGAGAACTCTTATCTGAGATGCTTTCTCAGATTACAGTGTTGGAAGAAATTTCCCTGGTTTGTTCCCATCTAGGACAAACCACAGACGCTGAGAAGAAATGGATGCAGAAGCCAGCTGCCAGAAAGTGGAATTATTTTAATGTAGGAAGGCAAGAAGCAAAAAGTGACACAGCTCCAGCATTTCTGGCTTGCAAGCAGATTGGAGGAGGCAAACCTATGCCTTCTTATAGTTGATTTTCCTTTGAAGCTCCTACAATTTGATGGGGTTATTTGTGTGCCTCTAGTTAAAGTGATTGCCCTGAATCTCACCTTAATGGGTTAATCCTGTCCCAGGACCTTTGTCTTTTCTATCCTGGGCGTTAATCCTGTCAGGGGGCAGGAAAAAGAGAGTTCTGGTTTTGCTTTGGTGAGTTTATTTTTAGTCTTATCTTATCTTTTATCTTAATGGCTCTACTTAAGTGTTTCTGTGGTCAGCTGTTCTTACTTTTGTAACAGCTATTTGCAGACTGCTCTGAGTTTTCCTTTCAGCTGGTACTTCTTGGTTTTCTTAAAGGGGAAGGGCTGGCTTAAGTCTTTTGGCACTGCTTTAATAGTTCCTGGTACTGTCCTTTGGGGTGTACTTCCCACAACAATTTGGACCCGGATTCAGATTTCTTTTATCTGAACATTTTTTTTGGTGGGTTTTTTCCTCCTCTTCCTCAAGGCTTTTCCTTCTACCCACTACAGAAGACTAGCACAGCAGAGATTTAACACCAAAGGATATCCCAAAATTCTCCAGCAAAGAGATTGCTGTTCTCTCTTCACCAAAGTGAGGGTACATTTGAAAATGCCTCTTCCTTCCTTCCTTCCTTCCTTCCTTCCTTCCTTCCTTCCTTCCTTCCTCCTTCTTCTTCTCGGCAAAGAGTGGTACATGTGGAAACCATCCTGTGTCCACATCTCAGAAGGGCATGTGGATGTCATAGGCAGAAGCTGAAGTTGCTTTTGGAGTGGCAGCAGAGATGAGACATTGGAGAGTAGACTGGAGTGGGCTCCAGAAGGTTTCCACAGGCTGTTAAAAGTACACAGGATTGTGAATCGGGGTATGTATTATATCCCAGCTGGTTTGAACCAAATGCATCAAGGCCAAGCAAGTTCTCCTTGGCAATGGGTTCGAAAAATTCATCAGGCTCTGACGCGACAGTCTCAAGGGAGAGGCACCAACCAGGGCTGGGGTCTGGAGCTGCAAAAGCTTCTGCTATACCTGAAAAAGAGACAGGAGGAGCCTGGACGGGCAGGGATGAGGGGGTCTTCAGTGGGGTCTTTTGCTGGGATACCGTAGGCAGTTCCAGAGCTTCTTGAGAAAGGATGGAGGAAGCTAAGCTGTGAGTAGCAGCTTCAATGTCAGAAAAGCTTCTGGAGATGGATGGAAAGGAGAGGAAAAAACTCAGTGAAGTATCCTACAAGAGTGAAAAACATTCCCGAAATGTTAAAAATTATCTGCAGTAGAGTAGACTGAGAGTAGACTTGACTGACAGTTACAGAATGACACAAAATATTCTAATGCTGGAAATATTGAAGGACGCTTTTGAGAAATGAGGAAATTAATACTAACAATGTCAGCAGTGATATCTGAGTATTACATGGAGGGAGAATGGCGGGAACCTGTAGAAGAGTTAACCAAATGTTACATTCCAGTACAATAATGGGGATTAACTTAAATGTCTGAATTTTGCTTTTACGTCTCCGCTTACCCTTCACAGATGATAACACTGCTGTATTTCACCATGACAAAAAAAAGATGGTAAAATCGGGTATAACTCACTTAACAACTGGGTTGTTTAGCAACAGGAATTAAATTGTGGTCCTACGTTACCTGTATATGTGAAGTAGTAAATCATCATTAATTACTGGTAAAAGTAAGAGTGATCAAGTGCAGACCACATCACGTTCTCAAGTCTCACTTTATTGCTGCCCCCAATGCCAAAATTATGCCATTCAAATTCGTCCATTCCCACACATGCCCGCTTTCATTGTTGCAATTCGTGGCCACTTTTTCAGAACATAAAAACAAATACAGGACCATTCATCTTCCTTTTTCTTTATGTCGAAATAAGATTTCACCTTTTCTGTTTTAAAAAAATTAAATTCCCTGCAAAGCAAAAAAAAATGTCCTTGCGGGCCTCTCCTCCAAAACCCAATTAAAAACACAAAACCTGGCAATGAAGAGGATTACGACTGCTGCTGCCTTCCCTAGCCTGAAGCCTTCCAGAGGTGCTGAGACTAAATGGATGGCTAGAATTTCTACAGGTCTATGTTGGCTAGGAATTCTTGGAGCCAATAAATCTGAAAGCATTGGTTGGGAGATGCTGTAATATTGCATCCCTAAATCGCATAGGGGACATCCTTCTTCCACCAACAAGCTGGGACAAATACAGACCTAGAAGGTCCCTGTTCATTTTTAGGATGGTGGCTTAGATCATGTGTGGTTACTCAAGAGACAGGGAGGCTGAAACCATTCCAACAGTACCTGCATATCTGGTTTTGGAGGAACCGCCGGAGATTCACTTTCCGCTTAGTAGGTCGGCTCTTGCATGGCTTCTGCAGAGCACGCATCACATGGGAAGTTGCTGCTGACACAAAGGTGCACAGGTCGCTCCCACCTTCAGCAGGAGCCAAGGGCTGTGGTGGAGGTGCCAAAATTGGGTAGTTGTGGTGAAGCATTCTCTGTCTCCGTGTGAGTGAGATTCAATTCCAACTGCAATGCAAAGATGTTATGGCCAATTATACACCAAGATGACAGACCTGTCGTTTTCCTGATCAGCCCTGGATCCCTTTTTAAAAATTGGTGCCATATCAGTAACCCTTCTAATTTCCTGCACTAACCCTGATTTGAACAGCGGGTGATCATCTTTTGTTAGATGGTGAGCAATTGCACCATTGAGCTAAAAACTCTTAAGAGTTCACTATCAGGAGCCAGTGATCTGTTACAATATTCTCTTAAGAATATTGAGATTCCCAGAAAAAGAGTGGCGAACTGAAGACAATTCCAAGAAAAAGCAGAACTGACAACCACAAAGTACGAAAAGCCGATGAGTAGACTGGTTCTTCAAACCTTTCTGGACATAGGAGAGGACTGGAGATTGCCCACAAGTGCTCCATATATTTACTCCTTGTAAGAAGACTGCAAGACAGCAGTCTCCAACAGGTTTTAAGCAGTGTTAATTGAGGGAATTGCTATCTTGCTCAAAATGCGGTTGGCACCTTTGAAAGACACTAGCTTTGCATACTTCCTTTTCTAATCACTTTTGGAAATAGCTTATTAACTATTTTTTAGCCATTACAAACCTTTGGATCAACAAGTTTGGAATCATTTGTGCTTTCATTTTGTGTTCAATCTTGAATGAAATAAAGTTTTAATTACAAGCTTAAGAATTAAGAACTACAACCTTATTTTAAAAAAATAAATAAACATCAAAAGATGGATTAAAACATTGATTTTAGAATGCTACAATAGTACAGATAAATTTGGAATCCAACTGTAGGAAAAATCCTTCTTTTGGGAAAATACTTTTATTTTAATTTTTTTTTAAATAAGATTTTAAAAATTGGATACTAGAGGGAGCTAAAGATCTCAATTAAAGAGAAAACACATAAACTTTACTAACAGTTACAGAGTGACACAAAATAATCTAACACTGGAAATATTGAAATACTTTTGAGAAATGAAGTCAGAAATTAATATTAACAATGTCAATAGCAATATCTGCTTCTATGGATAGACTGAGTTGAAAGTGAATTTACAAACAACAGGCTTTATGAATGACATGGAAAAAGATATTACACTAATCATACAAAAGAAACTGACTGATGTTTTGATCAGATGGATGATAGGATCAAATTCTATGGAAGAAGTGAGTCTTCCATTTTTTGCTGATATGTTACATTTTTAAAAGGTTGTATAGATGTAAAAGAAAACATACTTTCAATTCCACCTACCTGTTCTTTGATGAGGTAAAGCTAAGAAGGCACAGATATATGCTAATCTTCAGCCTGTCATTTCTGTGTCTGTTCATTTTTCCATTCCATTCATTTTTCCTTATCGTGTGTTGCTCCTATCAGTCCTTTTCCACAATGTTGTCTACTCGTTTTGGAGGGTTTCCTGAAACTGGTACCCAGCACAGAATAACGGATGATAATGAAGCTTAGGAATACCACTCCTTTCTTCTCCTCCTCCCTCTGAAGCACACCAACACTGTTTAGAAAAACTAACAAAACATCACCGGCTGGTTTGGTTGTTAGCTAAAGGGGGGATAATGGGCTCTCTAACTCTGTAAATGGTGCTGGCTGTAATGCAGGAAAGGATAATCCTAATTTAACTTCAAGAATCAATATTTCAACAAGATTTCTTAAAAGCTTTTGTAACTCAAGAGACAAGGACTTTGCTAAGATACCTGGAAAGAGCAGCTTAGAGCTTCTGGTAGGGTCACAGGAATCCCCATCTCAGGTTCTCTAGGTGATGGCTTAGAGAGAAATCTCTATATTCTCCTTTCCCTCCGGAACTTATCATTTATAGAGTTAAGGTCCTCTATCCACACGGGCCTCCTTCAACTTAATAGGCTTACTTTTACCTAGGCCGATGTAGAGTTGTGGTATAAAATCACTTTTGTTTCAATTGCCTCACTTTACTCACAATGATGTCTGCTTCTCTTCTTTTCTGGCAAAAATAAGTGGTGATGAAAATGTAACCTTGTTAATTTCTTCCTGCAAGGTGCTGATTAAAAGCGGTTTTCCAGATACCGGGTGGAAAAAAGTTAGCAGCTGTAACACTTGCCTGTTGCTTGTTCTATACTTTTATATCTACCCCTCTTAATTATTATTTCATGCATCATCACCCCATTCGCTAACAAGGCTTGCAGACTCCTTTTGGAGGCATAGGTTAAATCTACAGGTAATTATTTTCTGCAATACTGGCCAAATTACTGTTGCTTTTATTTCCTCTCCCCACTCTTTCACTAATTCTCTCCTCATGATTTGTAGCTCCTCAGGTTGAAACCCTCAGCAGAAGCTTCCTCATTAGCACATATTTCTCGCTGGGATGTGGCAGTTATTGCTACTTGCACCCATTTCAGATGTCCTCACCTTCACTGGCCGCTGAACATTCAAAGCACCATGGAGATACCAGCCACAGAGGAGAATTTGCTAGCACAAAAGAAAGCAACAACCTTGTTGGCCTTGTTCCTTCCTCTTAGCACCCTGGACGAATGTCCTGCATTATAAAGGCAATTATAAAGTAATTGCTCATCCTGATTGCCATTAAACACAAGCCCTCTGCTTCCAGAAAGGAAGATGGGAGGATAGAATGAGAAATAATTGTTGAGTCAATGCAAAGGTTTAACCACTATTGCCATCTCTTTTCCAACTTCCTTTGTTCAACAATCTTCTAGCTCATTATCAGCTGTTTGACAAGCAATATGAAGGGCTAAGTCATCTGCTTGCATGTTAAGGACCACAATGCAGAATAATAAGAAAAAAGGGAGTACCATTTGATGTCAAGGCTGTGGTATGAGGAGAAAACTTTCAGGGACAGTGGTGATGGTTGACGGGCAAAAAGAAAGACACCATAAAAGCAAAACAGAAACAAATCACTACTGGGGAAAAAGGAGTAATGATGTTATCTTGATATTCCTCTTTCTGGCAGTTGATAACTTGGGAAAGAGAGTATTAATTGGGAAAACAGGATAAGACTAGACTAAATAACCATCAGCCCTTTGGATTGCTTTTAACATAAAGTCTTTGTTTGGATAGAAATCATTGTACTTCCCATGTTATGCTATGATGAGATGTGTATGGTATCTGCTATTACTGTTGATATTTATATCTATATTTATTGGAGCTCAACACTGATCAGTAGTTTTTAAAACAATATAGGACACATATGTATTCTTTGTATATTTAAACTTCTTTCCTTCAAAACCTACCTTCCTTCCTTCCTTCCTTTTTCTTCCTTCCTTTTTTGAATTAGAAAATTATATTGTATGCTCAACATTGGATAAAATAATGAAATTCCCATGATGGAGAAGTAGATTATGAAAATGTCAGAGTTTCCAGAAATGATAAAACTGAACAATTAAAAAAAAAAAGACTGGAACCTTTATTTGGACTTTTTGCTAAAAGAAGAAAAATGAATTAATTATTTGTGCCTTTAAACATTAAGAAAGATGTGGGTTAAAAGGATGGAGAACGGATTTGCAAAATATTTAAGAGGGAGGAAGGCAATAACTATCTGTTGAAAAAAAGTTCCAAGATCATTTATATATATTTTTAGTTTTCCTTTGCTTTTTACTCCCCCCTCCCTCCTTCCTTCCTTCCTATTATATGAACATTCTTAATAAATATAAATTTAAAAACTCTTTTTTTTCCCACATGTGATGCCTGTGATGCCTACAACAAATATTGTACAAAGAGACCCACATTGGACTTTAATAGCAAAAAAAAAAAAAAAAAATCAGTGACAGCACCTTTTCTGATTTAAAAAAAAACATTAGAAGTTTACCGAAATTTTCGGAGTATAAGACGCACTGGACTATAAGAGGCACCTATCTTTTTTGGTGAGGAAAAGAAGAAAAAGAAATCAGCCTATGCCTCTGCCCAGGGGTGAAATGCTCCTGGTTCAGACAAAATCGCCCGATCCGGTAGCGATGGAGGCGGGTGGTTCGGAGAACCAGTAGCAAAAGTCCCTGTGCCGCCCCCTCCCCCCATGCCCAGCTGAGCCACGCAATCATCAGAGGCTTTTTTTTTTAATTTTTAAAAGCATTTTATCTACAACCTCTTCGACTGAAAAAATGCTTTTAAAAGTAAGGAAAAAAAAGCCTCTGATGATCGCGTGGCTCAGCTGGGATCGTCAGAGACTTTTAAAAGCATTTTTTTACAACCTCTTCAGCCGAAGAGGCTGTAGAAAAAATGGTTTTAAAAGTTTTTTTAAAAAAAGTTGGCCATGCCCACCCAGTCACATTATCACCCCCATCAAGCCATGCTCACAGAATCAGTAGTAATAAATTTTAGATTTCACCACTGCCTCTGCCTCTGCCTCTGAGCAATTATGCCTCATTGCAGCAAACAGCAAACTAGCCTGCTTTACTTTCATTTTCATTTTCAGCATAGCTTGATTAGCACAAGGGGGAAAAAAATCTGCTCCAGCAATTTTCTTCCTTGCAGCAAGCAGCAGAGGCCTGCACAAAACAGCTGAGAGCAAATCAGCTGAGTGTCGGGAGGCAGATCCAATCAACTTGTGCTAATTAGGCTGTGCTGAAGCTGAAAGGAGCTGTTTCTTCTTGCTGTTTGCTTGCAAGGAGGTAATTGCTGCAAGGCAGAGGCCAAAGGGTGGGGGCCAGTGGGTGGATGGGGCTACATTCGGTGTATAAGATGCACCTAAATTTTCACCCCCTTTTAGGGGGGGAAAAGGTGCATCTTATACTCCGAAAAATACGGTAATCTTTCTGATTCCTTTCAATGTTTGGCCATCAAATAGCTTCCATGATAAGTTTTGAAATAGGCTGGACAGCTATAATTACAGCTATAATAATGTAACTGCTATATTTGAAATAAAAATACTAGACCGTTCTTATTCCTCATAATGGAAAAGACAACAAACAAGCAAGTTATAAGATGGCAGGATTGCAATTAAAAAATACAAATACAGTTGGGCTGCATGTTTATTACATGATTTGTGATTTAATAAATCCACTGTTCTTAAGTGACATAAACTTTAGATTTAAATCCTAAAGCACCTTATTAAGGAGATGTGGTAATTATAAGGGGATTTGTTTTCTCGCTTCTGAGTTAACTATGCATGATCATTCTGGAAATTGACTGTTAGAAGTAAGTCCGGGCTCTGGGACAGCAAGTATCAGATCTTCAAGCACTGTTTTGTCCTCTTTCCCCCAAAGTAGAATCAAAAGCCTCTTTCCAGACCTCCCTGCCTCACTTTAAACTGCTTCTCACACAAGGGTGGCAAAACAAACTCTGTGTATAAACAAAGAACATTCTCATGTCCACAGGTGAGTGTGAGAGGTCAAGCCTTGCATAGAGAGAGAAAGAGGCTGGCCAAGATGTTTTTGCACATAATTTCTTCACCGGTCATTCTGTCTTCTCTGTCAGCTTTCTACACTGGAAAGGAAGTAGGAGTCGCCTCTTCTAGAGTGAGGTCTATTATTGCCCAGGAAAACAGGTAGTCCTCAATTTACATCCACAATTGGGACTGGAACCTCCATCACTAAGCAAGGTGGTTGTTAAATGAATTGTGACTGATTTTATCACCGTTTTTGTTTAGCAAATCAGGTGGTCAGTAAGTGAATCTGGCTTCTTGCCTTGACTTCATGTCATTAGCTGACTGAGAAGATCATAAATAAAGATCAAATGTCCCTGGGACACAGCAACAGTCATAAATGCATGCTGGTTGCCAAACACCTGAATATTGATTACGTATGTGACCACAGGGATGCTGTGACATTCATAAGTGTGAGGACCAGTCGTACGTTACTTTTTTTAGTACCTTTGAACCAGTGGTAGGTTTCAAAATATTTTACTACTGGTTCTGTGGGTGTGGCATGGCTTGGTAGGAGTGGCAAGGGAAGGATACTGCAAAATCCCCATTCCCTCCCAAATCCAGGGGAAGGTTACTGCAAAATCCCCATTTCCTCCCCAATCCAGGGGAAGGTTACTGCAAAATCCCCATTTCCTCCCGATCAGCTGGGACTTCGGAGGCAGAGAATAGATGTGGGCAGAGCCAGTCAGAATTTTTACTACCAGTTCTCTGAACTACTCAAAATTTCCGCTACTGGTTCTCCAGAATTGGTCAGAACCTGCTGAAACCCATCTCTGCTTTGCAGTCACTAAACAAATGATTGTAAATCAAGGACTACCTATATTTTATTTTGCATACATTCATGTCTGTCCATATTGAAATGTCTGTGTTTTCAAACAAAAAGACAGACTTGGTATTAGCGTTGGAATCCAGCAGGTTTTGACAGGTTCTAGAGAACCGGTAGCAGAAATTTTGAGCAGTTCGGCGAACCAGTAGCAGAAATTTTGAGTAGTTCAGAGAACCGGCAAATACCACCTCTTGCTGGCCCCAGAGGGGGGAGGGAATGGGGATTTTGCAATATCCTTCCCCTGCCATGACCACCAAGCCACACCAAGCCCACCAAGCCACGCCCACAGAACCAGTAGTAAAAAAAATTGAATTTCACCACTGCTTTGAATGGTCACTAAACAAATGATTGTAAATTGAGGACTGACTATATTTTATTTTGCATACATTCATGTCTGTCCAGATTGAAATGTCTGTGTTTTCAAACAGAAAGACAGACTTGGTATGAAGATGCTCCTATGTTGACTCAAGATGGGATGTGTTCAGAGGCTGGACAGTGAACTCTCTTAGATAATGTAATATGGATTTTGAACTGTGCAGCAGTTGGACTCTATGAGCCTTTCCAACTCTATGGTTGTATAGAACCCTGGACAAAACTTCATAGGCTGTTTTTAACCAGCTGGGTCTCTTCATCCTCCCAATTTTTATTTATCTATGGATTTATGTATTTGTTTGTCAAATTTAGGTCCTTCCAATCTCACTTTCGGCGAAGGGTAAAACATAAATAGTTTATTCTGGATAGTATAGGAACGACAACAGGCATTTCATATTAAGAATTCTAACAAGAAGTAATATAAACCATCATTTATACT